TAAGTCGGCACATAAGTCTGACCTAAGTCGGCACATCTCGGCATTTCTTAAAATCTGTTCCACGTCTTGGAGCACTATTAATCACGCATTTACGAATCATTGAAATCGGAATATAACTGGAACGTTACCTCCAGCCGGAAAATTCGAAAGTTGGAGCCAAATTTTAACTCCAGACGCGCGAAATTTGATCTTCAAACATCTAACGTATATACACAATACCCGTCAGTTTTTAAACCTTACACCGTAGTGTGTCCAGTTAATCGAATTCGCTGACATTTTAAAAGCTATCAGCATAAAAAATTATTACTTTGGTTGAATTAAGGTGGGCAAAAATTTGCATTTAGCCCGGCATTGCCGAATGCCGACCTCGTTTTCGAGGACTGATTTTGCCACGTCTTGCTGACGTAATAAGTGATACCGACAAAGGAAAAAGGTCGCTTCGTGTGAGAAAATTCGCTAGTAGAAAACCGACTTTATTGCCTCTTTTATAGAACAGTATAATAAGCAACAACAACAACAACAACAACAACAACAACAACAACAACAACAACAACAACAACAACAACAACAACAACAACAACAACAACAACAACCAAACAAATTTAATTACCTAATTATGATTTCAATAATATTATGTTTTTGGACTAGCTGCCAGAAGTGAAGATACTGTATTCGAAAAAATTTGCATTGCTGCATGTGGTTTCTTTGATGCATGCTATTCGTGATATTCGGTTTGAATTCAATTATTCAGGAGGTCAATTTTGTTTTTTTCAGTGGTTATCTTTAGCCAATCCAGTTTTGCCGACTGAGATAACAATTTGCCGATTAGCTGACGAGTGGGGGGGGGGTGTTCCATCCCCCCTGTAGCGCCGCCCCTGATTTCAGTCTGCATGGCCATGGGCGTAGGAAGATCGGTATTTTGGGGGGCTCATATTCATATATTCATAAAGCAATCAATTTCAAAAGAAGTAATGATGCAGAACACGAATATATGAATATGAGCCCCCCCAAATATCGATCTTCCTACGCCCATGGCCATGCAGACTGAACTATCGAAATTTATTACGTATGCGAGCTGGCTACCCATAGCAAAGACAGATAAGTAGTTTACGTTTGGTATTGTATTCTATTCTACCTACTGGGGTTTCTTTCGCTTTCAGAGATTTCACTCCAGTTATAAAGTGAGGTCACCGGCGAAGGTAAAGTTTCCAATTTCCGAAAATCAATTCCGAAAGTAATTCAGGTGCAAAACGTTATATTAATGACTTGCAACCAATCTCCTCCTGGTACACACCAGACAATGTTCATCGATAAAATCACAAAATAGACATGGTATATCTATTATGTGATAAATATTCTTTTGTGCCATGCCACCTGACATGGCGGGTGACGTGCAAGTCAAGAATAGAGAAAATCAAAAATCAGTCCAGTCCAGTCCAACTGTCCAGTCCAGTCCAACTGTCCAGTCCAGTCCAGTCCATGTTTTGTACTATGCCAGTTTAATAGAGGAGTTTAGTAAAAGCCGATTAGGCCAGCACTTCCGGTCTAATTCCAGGAAATCGGAAGTGAAAGTAAACGTTTCTTAGAAAAGAAAAAATTTTATTTACATTCTTATACTCCACTGCGACATTTTGATTTTACATTGGTACGACTTGGCGTTGCTTTATTCGATGTAAGGAAAAAAAGCTGTACCAATGAGTAATGGTTGTTCGTCTTTGAAAGCATATACTATGAAAGCGCAGACAAAGCCAAGTGTAAGTGGGACCACTAGTTCCGGAACGCCTGATTCGAAACTTCTCGCTTCGAAATTGTTTTCATACCTAATTTCCTACGGCGAAAATTGTCGCTTGGCAATTGGCAGCGTAGCCGAACGCTTTCACGAATTTGGCGGAGACAAGGGCTATGATTCGAAGAAAGCATTGGAATTCGTAAACTCTTTTCGCAATAAATTTGTTGTCAAGAACGTCGAGGGGAAGCAATTTGTCGAAGCCAGAACATCTGTGAAAATATGCGATGCCTTTCAGGAAGGGAAGTGTAGGGCAACGGTTTGCAAAGAACTCCACGTGTGTCGTTTCTTTTTGGAAGGTACAGTATTATTCATAACGCTGGTAGCCAGACCGCGAGTATACTAATGCAGGTATCAGCAGCTTTCCCGGGGGGTCGACCCCCGGGCCACCCCGGGGATTTGTCAAAACAGCCTTGACAAAAGGACACTAATGCCCGTGGGTTGGGGCAAAATTTTGTCACAAATGCCCCTACCTCCGGGGCGAAATTTGGAAAACAATAATTTCAAATATAACAAATGGTTATTTACAAAGAAATTTGTAGTAAGTTAATATACTTATTAACATAATTTTGGGCATCTCGTTCAATAAACAATGAAGCGTAGGCCGTAAAGAAGATATTTTTGAACTAAAAATTCATACACAATTTTATATCGGGACATTTGTTATTAATACGTTTGCTATAACCTATTTAATAAATCAGTATCCGATACAAAACGTTTAAAAAGTTTGTGTCCTTTATAGTTTCAAACAATTATTCTGGTGTTTCCAACTTTTATTGAGGATAGATGGCTATAATTATTCATTTATAAATAAAAGGATTAAATTACATTCACCTACCATCGATTGCTACTAAGCGGAAACGCGTCATGAGAAAACGCCTGCCTCGTACCCAGGCGGTATGTTCTATTGCTCGTGTGGCCTTTGCGTGGGATGTGTGCCGTGTACAAACCAAAGCGCCTGGGTACGAGGCAGAGAAAACGCGATCTATAAATTGGACATAGCTTGCGTAGCCAGCGGTTTGCCTCGCCTCCCTAATTTTCGTTGCCCGCGCCTCAACCCCAACCCTTAAAACTGCCGGCTACGCAGGATAATTAGACATGAAACATAACATGTCATTTGGACTTCAAACTTTACATGATTTTGCTGGAAACATTTGACGGTTTACAATTATTTTTTCCGCGAAAACGTAACAAAGTTAGTACAAACATTGCAAACCGCAATACTGAATTTGTCCACTATAAACACAAAATATAAGGCCTGTTTCATACGTCGAATTTAATTCAGACGAATTTAATCACGGATTTAGTGTTTGCAAGCTAATCCCCGCCCAATATGAATGTGTTTCTAAATTTGAAATGTTGACTGTGAGTGTCAATATTTCAAATCCAAATTTCAAGTCCAAACAATTAAATCATGTTTGACAGCCAATTGGATGCGTTTTCTCATGACATGTTTCTGCTTTATAGTTGCAATCAACGGTATATTGTTCATGTGCTTCGAAATGCTTCGAATTTGCTTCGAACTTCGAAGGTTCGAAGCGTCTTCAAAAATCATAATTAAGATTTTTTTTGATGAATCACCGCTGACCGATATAGCAGCAGTCCATATGCAAATCCCGGGCGTTTGCCCCCGGGGTTAATTTTCAAAATACAAATGTAGGCTAAATCCCGGGTCTCCGGGGCGTGATTTTAAAACAAATTCCGTGCCATGCCCTCAATTTTATGGGGGGGGGGTGCTGATTTGCAGCAGGCATGCAAACATGCATGAGGTGAATTTGTCAATAGGTGCAAGAGGGACGACAAGTATAATCCTGCATGGCCAGTTATATCCAAGATTACTGTTTGGTACCATTTTTTTTAGCATGAACAATCATTATTAAGATGTATAAATTTTGTCAGTAGATAAATGTCAGTTTAATAATTGGGCTAACAAGCTAATTAGGTGTCTTTTGATTGGTTAGTGATAGTGATCTTGGCCGTATGTGAAAAAGTCAAAATCTGGCCTTTTTGTAGAGGTGGTGCTAGCCCCGATTTGAATGGGGGGGGGAGGGGGTTAGTGACAATGTATCTTTTCCCAACATTGTTGGCGGCATATTTTTCGTTTTCTTTTGAGTACATGTACCGTTGCTTTCCTTCATGTTTTCATAAATTTCTCCTTAATTAATTGTCAATCAATATTTTAGTTTTTCCCTTCCTATCCAATTCATGTATTGCTGACTACGAAAACAATTGCCGATCGGCAAATTTGCTGACTACTTGATGACTGGGAGGGTGTCTCCCCTCCCCCCCCCCTCCACACTAGCGCCGCCCAAAATACCTGGTTGGTCTATATCAGACATAAAATTTTAATCTATATTTTAATATATAATGCACTATAACCAAGCGAAAGATACTTTGGCTAGTTAATTAGCCCAATTGACATTTATCTACTGACATTCATCTAAATAATTATTGTTCATGCTAAACAAATTAATTGGTATTAACAAGCTATAATCTTAGACTTACCTGGCTGAGATTATACTTGTCATCCCTATCGCCCCTTCCTTATGACAAATTCACATCCTGCCAATTATTGCTGTGTTGAGTGCCCACACTATGACAGCCCAAACCCAATGTACAGTGTGAGTTTGTCATGGTAAATTAATTAGCAAACTTTGTTTCAATGGAGGGGAGAGGGGATCATGCCGAATTTGGCTTGTCAATGTACATTGTATAAATTTTGTAAAATTTCAAACACTAATGATCTCAATATCTTATGTTCAAGACTGTAGCTGTAAAAAGCACACAGTTCCAATAAACAGTTATTGTTAATAAATCTATTGTTTATGTTTTTTAATTAATTGAAGAGAGTTGTACATTTGGAGATGAGTGCAAAAAGCCACACACGTTTGACATTACACAGACGAGAGAGTTATTGGTATACCACAAATTGGACAGTTTGGACACAGACGTCCTAAAAACTTTGTTTCGAAAGGTATTGAGTGACAAGAAAATGAAACATGCCTCTAGCAGTTCCGGTCCGAGCATTTGTAAATTTTACAACAAGGGGGATTGTAAAAATGGTGACAAATGTGAATTTCTGCATGTGTGTAAACACTACATAGATGGGGATTGTAAATTTGGCAGCCGCGGATGTAAAAGGTATGATCAACTTTAATTTAATTACACAATTGTGTATAAAAAAGTGCACAGTTCTAAAACGTTCACTAAAACTGAAAATTCTGCAACATTTGTGACTAGTTCATGTTAGGGTGGGTGTCTGGGGTATTTTGAGTTCTGGTATCTCTATCGCCAAATTATTCTGAGAAGTAAATTTTCGAGTACAGAAGGGCTGTTTTTCAAAACCACTTTAAAAATGGCTTGCGCACAAAATTGTTAGGTTTAAAACGCAATTTGACACAGGGTGCAAATGTGGAAGGTGTTTTATGAACTATCAAAATACCACTCCAGACAATTTGATGGAAATTAAGTCCAACGAGCTCTGAAACTTACAATGTAACGTAATAATTAATAAAGCGGACATAATTTCAACTCAGTTTTTGCACCCTGAGCCTGCGCTGCTAGGTGGAACAGTCGCGTTTGTGGCACCCAAATGACCCCCCATTTTATATATCCGGCCCTGCCAGCAGGAGCTATTCCAGTATCATGAAAGAAATAGAACGTTTGTTCTTTATTGCTGTTGTAGGTATCATGATTTTGAAAGTAGACATTCAAGAAAAATTTTGGCTGTTCATAATATGGGAGAACTTGGCAACGAATGGCAGATACGCTGCGTGCTTCAAAGTAACCAAGCCCTAAACCTCGATTCGGATAAACCAGATAATGATTCTTTTTTGAAAGCCTTGGTTACGTGCAGTGCCAAGAGTATGGCAACCAGTCCAAGTCCTAGCACAACATATTCTTCATCGCAGGATTTTTCCAGTGAAAAGATGGAGATATGCGGTTTCAATCTGCGTGGGAAGTGTTATTATGGCAACATGTGTAATGCATTGCACACAGCCCTACCATATCAATGGCAGTACTATGATGATAAACTCTTGCTTTGGAAAAACTTTCCTGACAATAATAATCGAGATATAGAGAAGAAATTTTGTGATCATGAGGAGGATACTGTGACACTTAAACTGGTTGGCCATACTGTGACATCTAAACTGGTTTTTTTCTGTATTGATTTTCAAAAAATGGAAGGAAGAACATTTTTTGGTAAGATTGAATTTCTGTTTATCGTTCATATGTGCTTTCTTACAGCATAAGCACAATGCTTTACTTAAAAAAATATTTTCGTTAAGTAACGTAATTTTACTCTGACTAAATCAATCATCAAACATCAAAAGGAAATCTAGAATGTTAATTGGTCAATCCAAACTATCTGACTATAATAATTATATGTCTCGTTTCTTCCGTCTACGTTTGCACTATTGCAGATATTTTTAAGAATTTTAAATTTTTATCTTTAGCTACATCCTTTCTTCAAATATCGTTTTGTCATAGATACCCAAGTTTGGAAAGTACGTCGTCTTTCAACACTCTCGTCAGTATTGGCTGTATCTGGTCACGTGTTTCGTACCACGTGGAAGTGGTACTGGCAAGATGAGCGTGATAAATGGCATTGCTACGACAACGGTAAAGCTGAAACAACTAGCGAGGAAATTGAACAGCATTTTCAGACAAGTACGTGTACACCAAGTGAATCCACTTCTGGTAAGGTTTGACTTAAAATTAGACTTATAGTTTGTAGTTACACCATAGACAGATTCGAAAAATAGCTGTCATTTTTTCTTCCGAAATTAGTTTCATGCGGTAATCTAAGGTAATCATGCGCCTTATTTACAGAATACTTCAAGACTGACACTTTTACAAAGTATAAATATAATTCCATGTATTCTCTTTGGGAAATTACTCTTGACTCCAATTTAGCCTACTTTTGAAATCTTACTTCCAATGTATATTTTCTCCCATTTTGAAATATTAAATATTTCTTTCCAAAGTAGTAAGAAGAGTTTCTATTGAAGGTATATCTATACCATAGGGATGCCCTAAAATACGTGTACAGATGAATAAACTTCGTTGTAAAACTTCCTTGATTATATTTTAAGACCGCTTAGTACAAAATATATACATTAATATACAAAGCAGGCATGTTCTTTTTTTTGTTTTAGGTACGAAAGGATATAAATTCTCCGCTGGCTCTAATAGCTACACTCTAAACTTTGATGACGTACACGAATTGTATCAACAGAATGATGAACATGGAACGAAACGAAATGTTCGAAGACGACCTGCGAAATATCTCAATGAAAATACTATGAAGCAAGTTTTCGAAGAGTAAGCCTTGTTTAGAGATTTTAAAATTAAGTTCCGCCTGAGTAGGCAAACTAGCAAACGTTTTTGTGGAAAATACATTCAAAGATTCAAAGATTTATTTGTGCCAACAATAATCCATAATTTGAAGTATATATAGATACATAATTAAACAAATAATCGAAGCACAGGCTGACAGGCTATTTAGAATAGCAAAGCTAATCTAGCCAAATAGTCCATGTTAATTCAAATTTGAAAACATCTGAATATCTTTATTATTTTCCTACAGGCAAAAATGTTTCCCTATACAAATTCAGAAAATTATGTTTTGCAAGTTTTATTACCTGTAGTCTTGCAAAAACTGTCTTCTGAATAAGTCTTCAACCAGTGCTGCATGTTGATGCCAGCACTATTTTAAATTTTATTTTTGAGTAAAATAATATATTCTGGAGAGTAAAGGCAAGTATTTAATCTGACATTTTTTTCCTGGCTTATCCATCATCAATGTTTCCTGAAACAATGCTTCCTACTACTTAGTGACCCTGACCCTACTACGAGATTTTATTCCTCAAACGGTAAGAACTAGTTAATAAGTCTACCTGTCATCGTTTTTGTTTTTCATACTATTTAGTTTCAAACGAAATCGTCAAAAAACAAGTTCTAACAGTGGCACCCCATCATATCCTGTTCCATCCAACTGGAGCCTTATTGATCTTTCAGAAGAATTTAAAATTGTAGAATTGAGTGAAGTATCGGATCATAATGAGTACTCGAAAGTCAAGGCAGAATTTATGACAACAATGGCGGGTTTTAAAGTGAAATCTGTTAAACGCGTTCAGAATCCTGGCTTGTGGGAAGATTATGAAAGGTATGTAGTTGCACTAGTGTTTTTTGTTGTTGTTCTTTTTAAGGTAAAACATCGGTTATGTGGGATTGATTGATTGATTGGGAAAAATTAAATCAGATACAACTATTAATCAGATACAACTATATATATAAAAATATTACATGGGGGTCACTATATCAAAGGTTTACATGAAGTAGTGCGTCACATAGGCACGCAAAGGGGGGTGGAATATGAGATCATCAATTTTCGCTTCCTTATAATAAACCGCTGCGCTTGTTCGTCGCGATGCACTACTTCATGTAAACCTTTCATCTTTCATATAGTGGCTCGCATGAAATATTTTTGTTTATATGCATTAACTCCTCGCCTTTATTTTGCTAAACATTTTTTAACATGAAGTATTCTCAATTACGCCACCAATGAATTAACGCAGGATGGCGTTGCTCACGTCGTGTACTCATGTTAGCCATGGCAACACGAATGCACGATCATTGTTTTTAGTTTTTAATTTTTTGTGCAAAACAGCAAAAAATATTAATGAAGTTGAACTCTTTTAATTAACTATCGAACTATCAATTTCTAAAGCTTCGCGAAATCAGTGTTCATTTAACTTTATAATATTATATGTGCTGTTTCAATTGTTTGGCATTTTTTGGCGATTAACTATTTAGCCTAACTTAGTCTCTTTATTAGTTGCAACAAAATCAATTCAATCATACAGCTCGCTCTTGGAAATAATTTAGTTTCCTTTAATTCTATAAGCCTTTTGTAATATAAAATAGGGCAATTTAGGAGGCAAGTATAGATACTAGATTGGACTGGTATCGCGGGTTCGATTCCCACCGTGGCCAAGCTAACTTTTCAGCTTGCCCGGTGTGGATGCACACTCAGAGTAACATCACAAACATCATATTCACCTGAGTACATAATACCAACACACACACAAAATAACGTACTATAAAACAAAACGAACTTACTTTATATTTCATCATTTCCCATCTTATGTCTTTTCTTGTCATTTCTTTACAGTAAAATTTAAAAAATTGCTTTGCAGCTCATTGTATGAAACGACTACAGTTTTCATATGTTTTCATTCTTTTCAACCCGACATCTTGGCAGTTGGCTCATTTCACTCCTGGCAGTCCGCCATATTTTGAGATCAGTGAGATGATCACCCGCTGCCCCACTTTTGAAATCGCTAGCAGCCTTCCTTTTCCCGGGTTTAAATAGTCGTGCGAAATTAGTACCCTTGCGCCGGACTTACGCCGGGATTTTTGACCTTTTTTCGACCTCAAAATTCTATCAATAAATAGAAAATAGAAAAAAAATGCTAACTATAATTTGAAATAGTTTAACACAGCTGTGCATGGCCGCAATTTAGTTATCGCCTAAAAAACAAGGCTATTATCAAACAATTCTTGCTTTAATTTTAAGGCAAAAGGCAAAAATCACCAAGAAGAACTCGGGCCAGTCTCCTGAAGAGCGCTGGCTATTTCACGGCACGAGTAAAGACATTGTGGAACCAATTTGCCAACAAGGTTTCGATTGGCGTCTCAGCGGTTCTAAACACGGAGCCGTTTACGGCAAAGGTAGTTATTTTGCCGTAGAGGCCTCGTATTCCCATAGGTATAGTTTGAAAGCTGTGCAAGACTGCTGCAAGATGTTCATGGCTAAAGTGATCGTGGGCTCGTATGTTGCGGGCTCGTCCGATACTCAGCGGCCACCTGCGAAAGACCCTTCCGACCCTCTGAGTCCTTTGCATGACTCGTGCGTGAATAATGAAGTGAAGCCTACCATCTTTGTCGTCTTCGAACGGAGTCAGGCTTATCCCTACTACATCATTGACTATACCAACTGAAACCTGTCCAATATCTTGGACAAAATATACCAGTTTTTTTTACAAGAGTGCAGTGAAATTAGCTCTGCTAAACTGGTTTTGTATTGCACGTTCTTTTCAATAAACTTTAGTATTATTAAGAATAACTAACTTGTCAAGAACAACATTGACTATTTTAAACTTTTTTCATACCTAATTTAACATCATAACTTTGAATAATCACATGCCTAGTTGCTATTAGAATAGAAAACAAATGTTACCAACTTTTTGACAAAAGTTTTTTTGTTTATCTATTTTGCAACAACAAAAACAAAAGGGAGATCACATAACTAGTAAGAGGAGAAACGTGGCTGTATACGTTAGTAGTAATATAGGTACCGTTCGACCTGGATTTTGGGGGCGCCGCAGCATCATTAGCATAAAACAAGGTGCCGCATCATCAGTATAATATACTGGATGATATCCTAATTAAGATAACAAACATACTGGATGATATCCTAAGATTCTGGACGATGTCCTAAGATACTGGGCGATGTCCTAAGATATTGTATGATATCTTAAGATATACTAAATGATATTCTAATGTATAGCATGATATCTTTAGATATTGCATGATATCCTAAGGTATAGATAGCATGATATTCTAAGATATTGATATCCTAAGATATTGTATGATATTCTAAGATATTGATAGCCTAAGATATTGCATGTTATATAATACCTTATTAAATTCTAATCGTTTAATTGGTTGTTTATGGTCACGTGATATTGAATAGAAAATTCCATTTCCCAAGAGTGCAATGGAACGCGTTCCATTGCACTCTCCGCGAGTGCAATGGAATAAAACGTATAGTACAATTGCACTCTTTGTGTTTTCGATAAATCGCATCCC